CCGTAAGCCCATAGCTTAAACCCTAAACCCTAAACCCTAAACCCTAAACCCTAAACCAAAAGCCCTAAACCCTAAACCCTAAACCAAAAGCCCTAAACCCTAAACCCTAAACCAAAAGCCCTAAACCCCAAACCCTAGACCAGAAGCCCTAAACCCTAACCCCAATTATTAAGGCCCCCCCAAAGTAACCAGCCCGAGCCGCGAGCCGCAAGGAGAGCGAGACTCTGGTTCGGAGCCGCGAGGCGTCTGAGCGACCTGCTTCGTCTAGGGGTGTAGGGTTTAGGGTTTAGGAGTTAAGGGGTTTAGGGTTTAGGGTTTAGGAGTTAAGGGGTTTAGGGTTTAGGGTTTAGCAGTTAAGGGGTTTAGGGTTTAGGGTTTAGGAGTTAAGGGGTTTAGGGTTTAGGAGTTAAGGGGTTTAGGGTTTAGGGTCTAGGGTTTAGAGTTTAGAGTTTAGGGTTTGGCGTTTGGCGTTTGGGGTTGAGGTTTAGGGTTTAGGGTCAACGGGTTTTAGGGTTGAGGGGTTTAGCTTAACCTACCAAACCTATTTTCGTAGGGGCCCTGTAGATTCGATATTAGGGTTCATACTAAGAACCTACAAACAAGTAGGTTATGGTAGGTTAAGGTAGGGGTTAGGAATTGAAACTGTAGTAAAACCGCTTTGGAATGAGTGAAATCATAACCTTAGAGTCCCTATATATTTGTACCAAAGTCTTACGGTGAAGTTTTTTTGAATGAGTGCCACACAGGTAGTATAAACGTGTTGTTTAAATCGTACGTGCAAAGAATAATCTCCACCCTTCCACCGCCGAGACCCTGCAACCTCCACCTCTCCCTTCCACGCCTCCGCCCTTCCAGCCCTCCACACCTCCACCCCTCCACCGATCCACCCCTCCAGCCCTACATACAGCCCCGGCAAGCAAAGCCTGCAACCCCAACAGCAGCACCTTCACCAGCCGCCCAGCCAGCAGCGCAGCCGAAGCAAGCTCCAACTCTCAATTTTCCTGCCGGGGCTGGACATGTCCAGTGTTCAATCCCGCCGAACAAATTACGTGAGCCCGCTTACAGCTATTCAGAAATCGACAATCCAATAAAGCTCCGGTTCCAACAGTTTTCGCCCCGAAACGCCAACTTAGCCATCGTAGCTCCAAAGCCTTAAACCCGAAACACCGTCAAGAAAGCCAATGACACCTGCGTGACAGGCAGAGCTCTTATCCGAACTTCAAGAAGAAAGGGCAGCCGCTGCGGCCCCGGGCACGAACGGATTTAATAAAGGGGCTTCAAGAATTACCTATATTATTGTTTTGGAGGCTTCCTCATGATAAGTATACCACAAAGGACCCCAAACCCCTATTCTGATTATTAAGGCCCCTATTCTAGGTTTGGGGGCACTGGTTGAGCCGTGCTTCATGGGTTTCGGGCTTGAGAGGTCAGGGATTCAGCTGGACTCAGATTCCTCTTGTCTTTGGTCCCAAGCACCCGTCTGTCGAAGTCTCCGCTCTGGTCACCAAGCCCTCAACCCTCAACCCGAGCCCCAATTTTTTGGGGTTCGGGCTTTTGTTGTTACGGCTTCAGCAGCATACCATAAAACGTAAACCCTAAAGCCTAAACCCTAAACCCTAAACCCTAAACCATAAAGCGTAAACCCTAAACCCTAAACCCTAAAGCCTAAACCTTACTT